TATATACTCCGACGAAACAGTTTGTCACAGCCCCTCGTTTGTTGTCCTCTTCTCCCTCTCTGCCTACGGTTTACCGTAGGCAGTTCTATTTTACGATATATGTATGGCATATCTATAGTATAGTTGCAATATCTTCGGACCATTTTTTTTTCCCGGACAAAAGAAGAAAAGGGGTGGGCGGCAGTAGGGTAGCGTGAAACGGACGTGGTCTGTCCCGTCTGAGCGAGCATAGGGAGGGGCTCTTGTCTCTGCTCTGGGGCCAAGTCCCACTAGTAGCAGCGTTGAGCTACCTCAACGCCAGAATCTGGACGTGTTTGTGGAGATGTGCAGTAGGAGGAAACTCGACACCAATTCTGCACATCTTCGCAAAAGCGTCCACATTCACCTCAACGCTGCTAGTGGGACTTGGCCCCTGGGCTGGGCCCGGGGACCAAGTCCCATTCACGCTGATGCTTGATATCTGACCGTGGATCTGCATAATCACGGTCAGAAATTTAGAAATACGGTGAGTGGCACTTGGCCCCCTTGGGTGCCTGCGCCGCCGCCATTCTAGGGAGTGGGGGAGCGGCGGAGGGGAAAGGGGGGCGCGGGGGAAGGGGAGAACGGCTGCTGTCCGCCGTATTTTATTTTTATTTTTAGGGGGAAGTATGTTTATGTCACATGGGAGTTTGTAATGGGCACAAAAAACAGCCTTCGGCGTCTGTGTCAGGGCGGAGTTCGAAAAGGTGGTTGTGTTTTTTTTTTTTTTCTTCCTCCCTCTTTGGTCACGCCGCGCCGCGGCTGCAAGGACAAAAAAAAGTTTCTTTTTTTTTTCTTTTTTTTTTTGTTGTCGCGCCGCGGCTGAAAAAAAAAAAAAGGTTGGGCCACGGCCAGGACCTTGTCTGCTATGCGTTTTCTGCTATTTGTTTCGAACCCGGGACCTTTCGTTAGTTTGAGTCAGGAGGTTTCATGAAGGGATTTGTCACTTGGTCCTCCGAAGAGTAAAGAATTTTTTGATTGTATCTCTCTCGAATAGTTGGCGGCATTCCTGTTATCTTGATAACTCCGATAGTCCGACAGTTGGTTTTTGTCTGGCGGTGTTTTCGAACGGACTAGAAAGTACCTGAAGTTGACCTGTGGCCTAGTGGACGTTCTATCTTAGTTTTTCATACGACCACGGTTCGAATCTGAGATGTTTCTACGGAGTGTGCGGGCCGGATGGTTTCAGACCAGAGGCCAGTGGGAGTTTTTATTCACTCTTATCCGTAGGACCGTAGTTCGAATCCTCGTTTATTCAGTTTTTCAGCTTCTAGGTTAGTCGTCCTTGGTTTTCTACGCATAGGTATATAGCGTGGTATTCGGTAGTTACCAGTACCACCGCGACAAAGACCCCTGAGGAGTGTTGTCTGGCGGGCAGCCGAAACGTCGGGTCCACGCCGCCGCTGTACTTCACGTTTTATTATTACAGTCGTGTTCGGGAGAACTATATCCTTGCGTACTATCTCTTCCTTTGTCTACTGCTTTTCTTCTTCTTCTTCTTCTTCTTTTTCTTCTTCTTCGTCTTCCTTTTGCTTGTGTTCGTTGAATTGGTATACTTGCTTTGTTGAATGGTGTTGTTCACTGCTGATACATACGCTCATGTACGTGGAATTTTGGCTGCTCTATGCTGTGATCGATTATCGACACTAGAATTCACGGAGTAACCGTCATAGGGATTATACTATTGACTGTGTGGCTTCGCGCTTGCTACGATGGTTAATCTTCCGATGTCCACTATCGTGCGTACTTGTTTTCTTTGCGGTGACCCTAGCCATTTTGCTCGCTGGTGTCCCAATAACCGTAATAATAATAATACTTCTGCACGTGCTCCTATTCTTGCTCTTCCTGCTCCTCCGTCTAGTACTCAATCTTCCCAACCTTCCTCCTCCTCCGCGACTGTTGCTACAATGAATACTGGTTACAGAGGTGGCGACTTGTATCACACAAACCAACGTGTGACAGTTCTTGAAGAAACGGTGGTTTCAATCAAGGCGCGTTATGATGTGGAGGTGGCTAGTGAAGCGGCCACGAGGGCCGAAGAAGAGAAGAAGAAGAAAGAAATCGAAGAAGAATAACGACGTGCGAAAGATAAAAAAGAGAGAGAAGAATTTCAGTCAAGGTTGTACGGGCCCTACGGGGAGATGAACGCCAAGTTGGACAAGGTTTGCGAGGCGTTGGCAGGCAAGCAAGACAAGGTGCCGGCGAAAGGGACTGGTGAGGCTAGTTCGTCTTACACTCACCAAGATGATGCAATTGCCATTCTTATGAGACGGCAAGAGGAGATGAGAATTAAATTGGAGCTTGCAGTTGGAGCACAAAAAAAAGTAGAGTCACTCGAAGCGCAGGTCTGTTCCTTGGAGAAGTTACGTGACGAGATTACTGCCGAAGCTGAAACATGGAAGAAGGAAGCTCTTCGGTCGGGAAATAAGCGCAGCCGAATTGCTTTGTCACCTTCGGCACAGTCCAGGGAGGCTTGCTTGACAACTCCGGTCAAATCTACCTGTCGACCGCAAGTTGACATGTCTCATTTGAAAGAGCTGCATAATTTGGAGGTCAACGCACTCAAGGGACTAAGACTGCAGGAACTTAATCGAAGGAGGGAAACTGAACATGAACTTGCCGAGATGAAGAAGAAGATTGCTCAGTTGGAACTGACGAAGAAGACACCGAGGAGCAGCTTAAGAGACAAACTTGAAGAGGTGGTGGAGATTACTGAGACGAAAGATGATCGTGTAAAGTCAAAGATCAGTGAAACAGAGGCTGACATTGAAGAAAACAATTGGGAAACTTTCATCAAAGGAGAAAAGAAAGCATTGCGAAATCTAAAGAAGGAGGAAGTCATGAAGATATGCAAGAAAGAAGGAATCGTTTACTCGACTTTACCGAAGACTGTAAATGAGATCATTGCCAAGAGAGTTGTTGCGGATTTCGGTGAGAAGAAGAAAAAAAAAAGTAAAGTCGATGAGACTTATGAAGACATCTGTGCTGAAACCGTTGACGGTGGGACGAATGAGGAAAGGGATTCTGCAGCTTCTTAGGTACTGTCCCGAACGCGTCTCGTATCTGGTCTGTTGCTAGATCATGTGTTCATCTTAGGCAGATTTCACCAAATCTTTTGCGTAATAGACTACTTGACTCGCTTTTTCGTCAGATAGTGATTCTTCTGATCCTCCAAGGCTTAGTCCCCTGGGCATCCAAGCTTTCTCCTCATATTAGCAACTGGTGGAACTCTTGTGATGTCAACGATTGTTTGAATGACCCTCTCATTTACGTCCTGGTCTCTCCTTGGTGTCGACATTTGTATGTTGGAAGTACGAGCAGGAGTCTCGATGTAGGATGGGCTGAACATGTTTACAAGGCAAACAATTTAGGGCGCGAGACTGATGGAAAACGGAATGAAAAGCTGTATAGGTGGATTCGTAGATGCGGTACTCAGCACTATGCTACTATTCCGATTTGTCTATGCTCCGAGGCTGATCGTTTGCAGACTGAAAAGTTCTTCATTCGATTGTTGTCTCCGCATCTGAATTCAAAAGATAAACGACAGAAGAGTCGGAAGAGAAGGTTGGGTAAACGGGAACGACAGAAGAAACAAAATCGACAGCTTTGTATTGCGCCTACTTCGTCAACTCATGGTCAGTCCTTGGTTCTGTTCCACTCGTCCGTGGGGATTGTGTCCTATAGTTTATTACGAATCTTGAATCATTGTAGGAATCGGAAGTTTCATAATTGTATGGTGTCATGCCGTGGAGGAAATCTTTTGCAAGACAATTGAAAGTTGTTAAAGCGTTGTTATGGGTCATCCGTTGTTTCCTGTTGTTTCGGACGTGATCAGTTGAGATCTTCTCGGGGATGGCTTACTGGTGGGGTCACGTTGACCTTTGACTCTATTGTACCTCATTGTTTCAAATCTCTTTCGTTCAAACCCTGTCTTGCACTTCTTTTCAGTTGTTCATCTTCTCGCTCTAAGTTGCAAAGTTGGGATCTCGACCATTTAATTTTTGCCTTTTCTGCCATCCGTTCTTTTCAAGAAAAACGGACTCGAGGGAGATTGCGTTTGATTCTTTCTAAAATCATTTCTGCACGTTTCCACATTCCGGTTAGACTTCGACTCGTGATTCGTATATAATTCGATGATAAGGTTTGTAAAAGTGGTATTCATCAGACCTGTGCACGTGTTGTGGGAGCATTGGATGTTCATCAAGGATGGAAAGACGTCCTGATTCGGCGGATGCGAATTGTCTGGTGTCGCAATAAAAATATCGGCGATTTGATACACAATTTTCGAAAGATCGCAAGTAAAGGGGATTTTCAGTGCACTTGTGAGGATGTTGATTCTTCTCTCGTCAAGGTTGAAGGACATGTGGCGTTTCGTATGAGCTCTGCTGTTGACTTTCCCGAATGTATGAAAAACTCCAGGAAAATATTCTCCGGCCGTCCGAACATAACTCTACCTCTCGGTTGATGAAACAAATTGTGAAGGCTTTCAATTCTTACGGTTGTCTTCCTCATGTCAACGATGCTATGGTTGGTGATCTATCCTCTTGTTTTAATCGATCGTGTATACTTGTAGACTCTTTCACATCCACCAGTATTTCTTCTATTTCTTCTTCTTCTTCTTCTTCTTCTTCTTCTTCTTCTTCTTCTTCTTCTTCTTCTTCTTCTTCTTTTTTTTCTTCCTTTTCTTCTTCTTCCTCTTTTTCGCTTTCTTCGTTTTCTTCTATTTCTCCTGTCAACCGATCTGACAGCATTGATATTGTACGTCCATACCTTGGTAAGTTGAAAGGTCTTGTTTGCACTCCTTTAGATCATAATCTCGGTGATACTTATGTTTGTTGCCCTGAGATTTATAGTAGAGGTATGAAAAAGCTCTTCCATGAGAACCCATCATTCATTGATGTTGATGAGTCCGAAGTTGATATCATTGAGAAATGTCGGGTACGTTACTTACATGAGTCCTTTGACAAAATTGAAAAATGGAATAAGGATAGATCTTTTGGCAAGGCGTATTGCCTGCCGAAACATAAGGATGTAGACCGTTGGCGTCCAATCTGCCCTTCTTGGTCTAAGAATTGTGCTACAGCTAGCAAACGGATCGGAAGATTGGTCAATCTATTGCTGTGGAAACTGCCGGCTCTCTCAAATTTCAATTTACGCTGCACTTTGGATTTGATTACTGGGATTTCGAAGATGAATAAGCAAATTGGTAAGGGAATGGGTTTGATCGGTGGTTCTTTCGACATCAAGGACATGTTTGCGAACTTACCTCACTCCTCCATTCAGGAAGCACTGCGATGGGTCATCGATCATTGGATTGGTGAAGGTTTCACTGGAACTCTGATATGCAAGAGAGGGAAAGTCGTAAGATTGACAAAAGGCGGAAAAGAAGAGGGTTGGATCTTTCTGAAGTTCTCCACTATTCTATCTTTCGTCATTTTCGAACTGGATAACACTTTTGTTGTTGCATCTGGTACATTGCTACGTCAAGTCATAGGTATTCCTATGGGTAAGTCCACCAGTCCGGCTCTTGCTTGTCTGCTTTGTGCCTTCAACGAGTTTTGTTTCCTTTCATGACTCAGATCAGATTGTTCGTTAGTTCATGGGTTCCGAATTGTTGACGATGTCTCCTTCTTCATTCGCTATCGCGTTGACTGCGACTTGTCCAAGTCTAAAGCACACTATATTTTTGAGAAGTTCAAGAACTGTTATGACAATAATCTGAAGTTGGTAGCTACGAGCTCTGGAGACAGTTGGGATTTTGTTGGCTGTGTGTTAAAGATAGTTGATCAACCTTGCAGAGTGGTGTCAGCAGCTGTCCATAAGAATCATAGAATGCCTATTTTGGATGCTTTAGTGTTTCAAAACATTCAGGATTTCTCTTCTTATTCTAGTCGCCAGCAAAAAATGGTTGTAATATGTTCGTTCTTCCATCGAGCAAGGAGCTTCACGACAGTTAAGGGATTGGAACTGACCTTTCTTCTTACTCTGAAAATTGAACTTTGGAAAATGGGATACCCAGATGAATTCTTTGACGAATCGTTGGTGAACTTCAGTATGAAGCACGCTGGTTGCTGGAACAGATGGTTTCCTATCTTGACCCGATGGGGGCGGTTGTTCGCTAACAACCTTTTGTGATTGAAGGTTGAATTTTAACCTCGTGATTTAGTAGTGTTGTTGGATTTGAACCCGGGACCTTGTCTGTTATGAGTTTTCTGCTATTTGTTTCGAACCTGGGACCTTTCGTTAGTTTGAGTCACGAGGTTTCATGAACGGGTTTGTCACTTGGTCCTCCGAAGAGTAAATTTTTTTTTGATTGTATCTCTCTCGAATAGTTGGTGACATTCTTGTTATCTTGATAACTCCGATAGTACGACAGTTAGTTTTTGTCTGGCGGTGTTTTTGAACGGACTAGAAAGTACTTGAAGTTGACATGTGGCCTAGTGGACGTTTTATCTTAGTTTTTCATATGACCACGGTTCGAATCTGAGATGTTTCTACCGAGTGTGCGGGCCGGATGGTTTCAGACCAGAGGCCAGTGGGCGTTTTTATTCACTCTTATCCGTAGGACCGTAGTTCGAATCCTCATTTATTAAGTTTTTCAGCTTCTAGGTTAGTCGTCCTTGGTTTCTACGCATAGGTATATAGCGTGGTATTCGGTAGTTACCAGTACCACCGCGACAAAGACCCTGAGGAGTGCTGTCTGGCGGGCAGCCGAAACGTCAGGTCCACACCGCCGCTGTACTTCACGTTTTATTATTACAGTCGCGTTCACGAGAACGATATCCTTGCGTACTATCTCTTCCTCTGTCTACTGCTTTTCTTCTTCTTCTTCTTCTTCTTCTTCTTCTTCTTCTTCTTCTTCTTCTTCTTCTTCTTCTTCTTCTTTTTCTTATTCTTCTTCTTCCTTTTGCTTGTGTTTGTTGAATTGGTATACTTGCTTTGTCGAATGGTGTTATTGACTGCTGATACCTACTCTCATGTACGTGGAATTTTGGTTGCTCTATGCTGTGATCGATTATCGACACGGTCGGGGTTTGGCCGATACATCTCGGTCGTGGCCAATCTGGGGTGTGGCCGAGACATCTTGGTCGGCCGTGGCCAATCTGGGGTGTGGCCGAGACATCTCGGCCGTGGCGAATCCAGGGTGTGGCCGAGACATCTCGGCCATGGCCAATCTGGGGTGCGGCCGAGACATCTCGGCCATGGTCAATTTGGGGTGCGACTGAGACATCTCGGTCGTGGCCCGACCATGGGCCCTATACACCCTTGTTTTTTTTTTGTTTTTTGTTTTTTTTTCCCAAGCCGCGACGCGGCGC